TATCTCTTCAGGTTACATACCTCTTATTGTATCTATGAGATACCAGATTAGTTTGAAAAGGGCAATATTTGAGAAGATATATAAGGCAAGCAAGTTATTTTAAAAATTGCCATCCTAAGTTATCTAAGCCTAAAAGAATGAGTTTTCATGAGAAAAATGCTATTACACCAAAGGAAATAATCTCATTTTTTTCATATTACATAACAGAGCTAAGAACAGTGGCATAAAAGTTACCTGAAGTTCTATGCCTAGATATTTAGCCTAATGTGCAAGCAAGGAAGTCTTATTCCTCGGGAAAGTAATAATTCTTTGTTGATTTTGGACTTTTGCATGGAAAAAAAAATTATTCTAAACTTCTGAAGGCTCCAGAGTGGCTCTAAGAATTCGATTGGCTTGCCTTAGTCATTCACAATGTATACATTGTCAGGGACTACTTTTTGATCTATCTATTATCTCTATGTATTATATTTGTCTATCACATCTATCCATCACATCTATTCATCATATCTATCTAACATCTCTATTCTATCCATCTATCTATCTAATCTAAATCTATTTGTCCATCTATCTTTCTCGGTGAGAAGTGTCTGATATGTTCTACTGAGTAACGATTAAGACCTAGTCTCTTGAGACAGATTACTCAGGTTCACATCCTGACTGCACTTTATTAGCTAGTGGCCTTGAGAAAGCTGCTTTATGTCTGTTTTCCTCAGTTTCCATAACTATGAGATTGGGACAATACCCACTGCATAGATTTCTTATATGAATTAGTTAATATTTGTAAAGCATTAAGAGGCTCTGGACTAATGTAAGGACTATATGTACTTGATAAGTAAAACACATAAATTAAGTTGTCAATAGTCAAATAAAATGGGCCAGTTTTCTTATAGCACAAATATGAGCGTTATTAGTCCACAATAGTTAATTTTGTTAGATAAGCACGAAAGTGGAGCTGTCTCAAGACTTATTTTACCACCTCTATTCATATTTAAAGTAGGACTTTGAAGAGACAGCACAGATTCACTGGAGTTTGGTTTGTCTGCACCTATTTTCGTTTGGAATAGCCCCAAAGTTACATCCTAGACAGGAACCACATAGCTGCACTAAATGGACTCCAGTGTTTGAAACAGGCACAGGATCTGGGACATTCCGGTTACTTCCAGAACTGGTGACTGATTCGTTGCTATGGCACTCTTTCCCGGTTTATGCTGAAAAAGCAGACACATTATTTCTTCGTTATAGTCACCAGACGTTGGCTTTGCAGCAACGTCTCTTGGGGACTCATCAGGGCTACCAAGTAAAGGAGGCAATTTTTTTTTCTGATCATTTCAATTGTTGACATTTACTCTACTAGTATTTCTATGTTCACTAGTACAAGTCAAAGACAGCCTCACCAAAAAAATACCTCTTTATGGTTAAAATATTTTATTAACTGGAGAGGGAAGAGTGTTATTCTGTATCTTTGTGCCAGGCTATTTTTTGTGTTTATTTTCATTTTAATTTTTTCTGGTTGTTTGCCTGTAGCAATTTAAGATGAGGTTAGCCTGGAGTGGTTGTTGCAGCAGTAAAGGAATTTTTTTATTGAATGCCCATTTTGCTATTACTAATACAACATTAATGTCTTTACTAAATCACAGAACACCAAGTAGAAACTGATGCAGAATGTGTTTATAGATAGTCAGCAATTAGTAGTGGCCAATGGTTTCTTTTATGAAATAACAAAATCTAGGTGATTTTTAAAAACTCAGTGCTTAGCCAGGCCTGGTGGCTCAGCCTGTAATCCTGCGCCTTGGGAGGCTGAGGTGAGTGAATTGTCTGAGCCTGTGGGCTCGAGACCCGCCTGGGCAACTTGGTGAGACCTCATCTTACAAGAAATAAAAAAATGAGCCGGGTGTGGTAGCACGCTCCTGTAGTTCCAGCTACTTGGAAGGCTGAGGTGGAAGGATCGCCGGAGCCCAGTAGGTTGAGGCTGCAGTGGCCGGGAGTGGCCACTGCACTCCAGTCTGGGCAAGAGAGTGAGACTCCAACTGAAAAAAAAAAAAAAAAACAACTCAGTGCTTTTTAACCAAAATATGTAATATTGTGTAAATTTTTGTTCTTAGCAGATATTATGTGCATAATATACCTTCTTTGTAACCTATCCTGACTCTAGTATAACCTGGAAAATAAAACAGGCTTTTCCTATACTTTGTATAGAAAATGCATAGCTTTGTAAATGACAACCATGGTATCAAAGATCCCAAAATGCAGTCACACTTACTGCCTAATTATATAATTAGATTTTATGTTTTTTTAATAGAAATAGAATGATGAGCATAATTTAAGTAGACACATTTATTTTTTTGAAATATTTATTTGAAAGTATTATTTAATGTGTTTAAAAGTTGCTGTTTATTATAGTCTTACTACAGACCTAATTGCACTTCACCTTCACAGCAATATAATACGACAGGGATTATCTTCATGATAGGTAGGAAACAGGGGTTTTTGTAGTGAAATGACAGGGCCACCTAGTTAACAAATTGCTGCGTCAGGATAACCCCACGACTAGATGATGTTCTTAAACCATGCTCTAAGCCATTACGTTGCATTAGTGTCCAACTGATTCTCTGAAAATCTGTATTTATCATTATCTTCATCATGATCGCCACCATTACCAGTATTCAGTTCATGTAAGAAATAATATATCAAGGCCAGGTGCAGTGTCTTAAGCCTGTAGTACCAGCACTGGGAGGCCGAGGCAAGAAGATTGCCTGAGTCCGTGGTTTCGAGACCAGCCTGAGCAATTTGACAAGACCTCGTCTCTACAATAATTCAAAAAATTAGCTGGGCTTGGTGGAACACGCCTGTAGTTCCAGCTTCTTGGAAGACTGAGGTGGAAGGATTGCCTGAGCCCAGCAGGTCAAGGTGTGATGGCCATGAGTATGTCACTGCACTCCAGCCTGGGCGACAGAGACTCCAACTCAAAAAAATAAAAAAAATAAAATGCATTATTTAAGGAAAAATAGCTGGGCTCGGTGGCTCAGCCTGTAATCCTGCACCTTTGGGAGGCTGAGGTGAGTGGATTGCCTGAGCCCGCGGGTTCGAGACCCACCTGGGCAACTTGGCGAGACCTCATCTCTACAATAAATCAAAAATTAGCGGGGCGTGGTAGCACGTGCCTGTCGTTCCAGCTACTTGGAAGGCTGAGGCGGAAGCATCGCCGGAGCCCAGCACGTCAAGGCTGCGGTGGCCAGGAGCGGCCATTGCACTCCAGTCTGGGTGACAGAGTGATACTCCCACTCAAGAAAAAGAAAAAATAAATAGAACATCTTAGCCAACTTTTAATTACTTGTGGTAAAAAAGAGAAAAATAAGTTAGGGAAAATTGAAACAGATATACAATTCTCGCTTTTCAATTTTAAGCAACATTAGAACAATTCCACTATAATAAAAATTTTCTTTATAATACAGAAGAAAAACAAAAATGTTGATAAACTTAAGATAATATTAGATAACACAAAATTCCAATATTGCAGTGTTTTAAAATGTATCTATATTTTGTAAGAAGCCTATTTGATCTTCTTATTCTAACAAATCTTTTATCTCAAAAGTAATAGTGTGTGCTATCACTTGAATGTGATTCTCAGAGTTCATGACTCTGGACTACAATACCAGCTGATGATATTATAGTTATTCTCTCGCATTACAGTCTCTATGTCTCATCTTTATTATGGGAAAGTTGAAAATTAGTGCAGTGCCATATCTAGGAACCCTTCCTCAATGCCAAACTTAAACATTTATTAGCAACTTAATGTGATTTAAGGCATTTCAGAAATGTCTTATGCTCAAGGAATGCTCCTTTTTTTGCCTAGCACACTGGCTGAAATCCTTGCATTAGAGAAGCATTTTTTCACAGCTTAAAGACCTCAACATTCAGGAATTATTTACTAAAACTAAAATTTCCACAATAGGGATAATTATGCTATGATTATATTACATTATATCATATTATATTATGTTATAACCATATATGATGATATAATTTATTGTCCATACTTGGATATATTTCCAGGATATACCTAATTAGAAGTAAGGATAATCAGAGCCACTCTAAGCAAACTGGAAAATATAGTCTCTCCCACTGTAAGTAACTGTTAGTTAACTTCTGCTTTAAAATTAGATGAAAGTTAATTTGGAGATAAGACTCAGTCTAAGCATGATTGTAATACAGAAGTACTATGCAGTGGAAAAATACATAAATTTCAAATATTATATAATTTTGTGAATGACTAATTAATACCAAGCTTGTCAGTAAAGTTGAATCTACATAATTTGACTTTCATCTTTAGGAACAGATTAGATAGTATCTTCAAATTTCTACTCCCCTGACTCCCTAAAACAAGACTGAAAAACTTAAAATATAAGATGATGTGCTTGGAGGCACTGGAAAGCCACCAAGAAAGTGAAGAGTTATCAGGGAATTTAGGGAAGAATGAAGTCCAAGAGTGATTAGTCCAGTCTCAGGAGTCACAACCCATGGAGGGGTTAACCAATGCTAGAGGGAGTGGCTTAGAGATGAACAGTGCATTGATGACCTTGTAGAACCCAAGGGACCTCAAAATAAGCCAGGGACCTAGAATGTGGACCTAGTGAAGCTCTCTTAATTCTAATTGGAAACCTAAAGCGCTAGCACATCGTAAGTGTAAGAGAAAACCAGAAGTAGAACAGCCCTCACAGGACTCAATCTGAATCATTTTAATACCTGAAATTAGATTGAAGTGAACATGAACTTTTATGGTACACTTGACAAAATCAAATGTAATTCCTCTCTGAGAAGGTTACAGTCCCAGTGTTAAACTACCTCCATAAACAATTTTGCCAATATGATATCCAGCATACAATAAGAAATAACCAGGTAAACAGGAAGACATGGCAACATGAACAAAAAATAGCAAAAAATAGTACACAATAATGAACTATTAAACTGCAGCACTGCTGCATTAAGACAACCATTAAAAGACTTGTAAAAGACAGCAACTTGAATGGACTTAGAGGTGATAATACTGAGTGATCTATCACGGAAACAAAGAACCAAATATCACATGTTCTCACTCATAAGTGGACCTTGAACAACTATCATAATACTTTAAGAAAGGGATTGGCAGTAGCGGGAAACTTCCAGGGGAGGGAGGAGGCACATCTTATCAACAAGGGTACCTGCATAATGAACATTTGCATACCCCACATCTTTAAAATTAAAAATTAAAATAAAATAAAAACAAAAACAAACAAAAAACAAGCAGTACCAAAACAAGACAAAAGAGGGAAGGAAGAATATCCAGAACAAGTGGAATAAATAGAAAACGTTCACAAAATGGTAGCTTGTAACCCAAATATGTCAGTGATGGTATGAAATGCAAATAGACTAAATGATCCAGTTGAAAGGCAAGTGCAATAAATGTTTAAAGTGATGGATATGCCTATTACCTTGAGTTGATCATTATACAATATATACATGCATCGAATCATAAACATGTATGATTTTGTGTTGATAACAAATAAAATAAAACTGTTTTAAAAAGCAAAAATAAAGATTGTCAGTTTGGCTCAACAGACCAAAACACAAGAATATGATGTTTAACAGAGATACATTCTAACTATAAGAATAAAGACAAAATTAAAAATAAAAGGGTAATAAATTGAAAATAAAATAGCAATAATGATAATAATTAAAAAAGAATAATGGGCAGGATGCACTATGCAAGCACCACACTGAAGAAAGCGGAATTTACAGCAAACATTATTGCTAAGGAAGTACATTTTCTATTAATAAGAGGTTGAATTCCTCAGGAGGAAACCACAAAAATGACTTTCTACTTAACATTAGTGCTTGCATACCTCTTCCACGTTTGCAAGAATGAGTAAAACTAACATTTAAGTCCTCAAGATGGCCAAACACAATACTAAGCACTTTCTACACACTAGCTCATTGAATTCTCACAACCACCCCATGATGCATTCTTGATTTTTATCCTCATTGTACAAATGAGAAGACTGAGTCATGGAGAGGTTGCTAACTCACGAAAAAAGAGAGTAATGTGTGATTACCAGAAGAAAGGTGAGGGGAGGGAGCAGTGAAGGGGAAAGAATGAATATAAAATCGGTTGTTAACACTGAACTCTATACTTTAGTGAGTAAGCAGTAGAGCTGGGATTAAACTCAAGGAGTCTAGTCTGTGAGTTACAAGAATAAATATTTGAGTAGAAAGAGCTTACATGGACAATAACTTGTGGCTTTCTCTCTGGGGCACATTTCCAACCAGATTACCATGGATGAGATAGGGCCTAAGATAATCCTTTCCCTCTGCTTCAGAAATGATTCTAGATTTTTGCTACACTACCCTCCTTACTTTTCTTGTCTCAGTCCTTTTGCACATGCTGTTCCCTCTGCCTGAAATGCTCTTCCCCACTTATCAGCTCTTTTATCACTGTAGGCTTTTTATCAAAACCTCCCTTTCAAGGAAAGTCTTCCCCCTCTATGCCCACTAAAATCGTATATCTCTGCCTCAGAAATTCCTCTCTTCCTCTTGATTTTATTTTTCTCTCGACATTACCTCAAATACATGAAAACTTTACTTATCATGCCTGTTGTGTGTCTGCCTCTCTAGATAGCCAGTTCCACAGGAGCAGTGACTTTTAAATTTTCTTCACACCTAGGACAGTAGCTGCCCTTAGTAAGTGTTCAGTAAATATTAGTCAAATGAATGAATGCAAGAGCCTAAAACACATAACTCATTTTCCTGGGTTTGAAGCCCAGAAATGGGAATCCATTCCCCAGATTGTTGTTTCGTGTTCACATGCATTTTTGGGAGTTTTGCTGAATTTATCTGAGCTTCACTTTCTTCAAGTGTAAACTGGGGCCAATAGTAATAGTAACAAAAATTAATAACAGTAAATCATAGAGGGGGACTATCTTACAGGATAATTCTGAGGGTTTGTAGAAGACGATGGATGATCACTAAGTTGTCTACTGTGTCAGCTATTGTGATCTGAGAGATGGAAGGAAAGGAAGAATGAGCAGGGTTTCAGGTTTCCTTGAGTAACAGAATGATCAGTTGGTTGCTTTTGGCATTCTAGTCTAGATTAAAAAAATTGTGAACCGGGCTCGGTGGCTCAGCCTGTAATCCCGTGCCTTTGGGAGGCTGAGGTGAGTGGATTGCCTGAGCCCATGAGTTCGAGACCTGCCTGGGCAGCGAGACCTCATCTCTACAATAAATCAAAAAATCAGCTGGGTGTGGTAGCGCATGCCTGTAATTCTGGCTACTTGGAAGGCTGAGGCGGATGGATCACCAGAGCCCAGCAGGTCGAGGCTGCGGTAGTCGGGAGCGGCCACTGCACTCCAGTCTGGGTGACAGAGTGAGAAGACTCCAACTCAAAAAAAAAAAAAAATTGTGGCTCTTCTGCTAAGCAAAAATTGACTTCCTTTTGCCTTTCAAAATACCAGTCAGTAGATTTTATAGGAAGAAGGAAAAAAGAAAGTAGAAGAGAGGTTGGGTATCTTGAACTATAAATATAGAATGTATAGTTGTATGTGCACGTGTATGTGTGTGTGTATATGTGTGTGTGTATGTGTGTGTGTGTGTATGTACGTATGTGATTGCATGTACAATATTGTTTAAGGGTGATGGTGATTCAGTCATTGTGATATTTGTTGAATGTGTTCCATTATAGGATATTTGGTGCTATTTCATTTGCATATCTGATGTCAAATGAACATGTAATTCCTAGGTGTAGGATAATTGTTACTACAAAATAGTTCATGAGAAAAATTTCTTGACAGTGTTAAGCAGCAGTATGGAAAGTACTCAAGAGACAAGTGTATTTTTTTAAAAAATAGAATAACTTCTAACTAAATTAACTATAATGAGTATGCGAGCAACAACCTTGATGTATTCATTTGGACATTTTCCACATCCCAAGTGATTAGTCTAATACCAATTAGAGCATCACAGATTGCTATTATCTTCTTGCATTATTATTTTTGGGAATTAATTCTGTTTCAAAAATCAGACCTTTTCCAAATGAGAATAAATTTAAATATCTGAGATGAAAATGTGAAGCTGAATGTCAGGACCCATGTATGTCTATAATTTCAAATTCTAAAACCACAGAATTATGGGAATAATCCTAGAAAAATTAAAACTGGAGGAACTGACCTTTTGGGTCACCTAACCATTCCCATGGCTATTTATGGAGAATCCAAGTCATAGCACTTGTTTTTTTTTTCTTCTGAAGCTACTTAGCACTTTCTCCCTCATTTTCATTCATTCATTCACTCACTCACTTGTTCATTTATCTACCTATCCATCCTTCCATTGTTCCAGTTTTTCGTTTAATACATAATAGGCATAATTTATGTACCTGAAATGCTGCTTAGCACTGAGAAAACAAAAATTTCTCCAGAACCTCATATTTTAGTGAAAGAAACAAACAGGCTAATAAATAATCATAATATGATGAAACATGACAAAATACTGACTGAATGAATCATGAAGTGGTAACATTTCTTCTGGGTTTTGAAACAAGCGTATTTCAGGGAAAACTAAAATGAACATAAAGGTAAGGAGACGCGAATGGACTTATCAAGTCCCAGGAGTAGTAAATAATTCAACATGGGTAGAGCTGAGCTTATGTGTTCTGTGAAGAGTCTGGGAAGAAGGGGAGACAAAGCTGGGTGGTGAAGGACCTTATCAATCATAGGCAAGACTTTAGATTGTCTGTAATAAGACACAATTATAGGTTTTCTTTTCAGGAGGATAGTGGCAAAGAAAAGGGGGAGCTGCAAGAGATAAGGTAAATCAGAGAGGAAAATCAGGAAGTTACTGCAATTGTAAAAACCAGATGGAAGAAAGACCTTGATTAAGAAAGCAGTAGTGAGACAGAGAGTAGGAGGTGGATTAGAAAGATGACTCGAGACTGATTTGAGATAAAACTTAAAGAAACATGTTAAGCCATTCTTGAAAATATTCACTGGGAATACATGAAATAAAAGACCATTCCTTGAAAGAGTTTCCATGCTTTTGAGCAACGTAAAGAAAATGAAAGACTGGGAATGTAGAAGAGGTATATTTCTTCGCCTCCCCTTGCTTTTTCAAAAGAATATGAAACTCTTCTGCATTTTCTTGAGCATCAATCTTCATCTTAGGCCACATATGTCCACTGCAAGACACAACACTGAACTGCTTCATGATTGTTTGTTGGCTCTGATACAGCTGAATAAAGTCAACTAGACTCAGTGACCAAAACACAAGTTTTGCCCTTTCTCACACCATAGTTTTAATCTTACATTTCTTGGTTTGGTAGGGAGAGGCCAAAGTTAGCAATGATGGGGGGAAAAGAGTATTCTTATTGCTCAAAAACATAAAATGTTGGCAAAATTGGAAAATATATTTTTCTGTTATTATGTGATTAGTCTTTTTTTGCTGTTAGTTTGATCTAATGAACTCTCGGGTTTATGTAGGAAATGCTTAACGTTATTTTCGATTTATACTATCTCTGTCCAAGTCTAAATTACTAGCTCCTTCATAGGAATTATTATTATGTGTTATTGTTATTTGTGGTTTTTCAATCATTAAATCATTATTCAAGCATTTGAAATTAAAACAATACATTTTGATCTCTCTGGTGTACTTTGGGAAAGAGGTTGTTAAAAAAACTTCTTAACATCTACATAAGATATCATACATTACAACCAAAATATGCCAAGAATCCCATTCAGACTGTGACTTAGCATTACACAATTGATAATGAGTAGAGAGTAACAAAGTTGGCTTGAAAAATTAATGCCCCTGGGTGACTACACCCACACATTGGTTAAATGACTTGGTTCTACTTACCAGCCTTGAAGTGTGAGTGATTCAAATTCATGCCTCAGCAAGTTATACATTCCTGTAGGCACAGATGTTCAGGAAAGTCTATGAATAGTTAAGAGCACAAATTTTAAATCTGAAATTTAATTAAATATTAACTGAAAAAATAACATTGTTTC